GAATTATATGAAAACATGGGGATTTTGCTGATTTTAGTTGTCTATAATTTTGCATAGAAGTCAAGTCATATCGAGGGTACAATACAGAGCTACATTACTACACACATTTAACAGTCAAAGTTTTTTAGCACTTAATATATTACTATGAACAAGAGATGGTTTATGGCTACGCGTTTTGTGGCCGAGAATCGAAAATTAAATTCTCTACAAAATAGGATCAATTATCTCTCTCTAACACCTTGAACAACTATTCACTGAAAGCGGTCAGAGAAAATCAATGATCAGGTGTCCCACACCTTAACTTCGAGTTATGTCAGCCTTATCAACCTTATCGTCGACGGACAGTCAGCAAGCAACAATATAACCAAATAACAAAGGTAAATCTTAACAGAAGTCATATCATGAGGGCCTGATAAAAAAGATTGAGGAAAATGAAACCCATGATTAAGTGAATCCTGGATAAAAGTAAAAAATAGAAGACAAGGTAAAAATACAAAGAAATAACAATATTCACGAAAGTAACCCATGGTGTTACTGAAGAAAAGATAAAGACAATTCACACAATCGATTTCACCTTATCTCTTTTCTTCCCACGATTATTAAGCAATTTTTCTAATGCATGATATGATATAATCTTCCCCCTATTTTGCAATAGACTACTTTATTTTAAAAATTAACGGCAAAATGACTATACAGCTTATGAAAATGATGTCGTCGGAAACGAGATTTTCTTTACTGAGTTGTCTTTAGTTCTTTTTAAATAACACTATTGTCCAGTAAGATGATTTTAGGAGATTTTCAGAGTATTCCCTCTGTTACATTATTTTTATATGATCGTCATATAATTATGGAGATCAATTTCCCGATCTACGGTGATATTCTTCCTTCGTCTATATTTCTGTGTAACTATGTCAGTAAAGCTGACTAAATTGTATTCGGAAAATTAAAGTTTATCAATGATATTATTCCTGCATTCTTCGCTTGTAGAAAATCGTAAACATGGTCGTTACTCTTATTCAATGAATTACGTGTGCATCGGATATGACTTAAATTCAAGATTCTTTTGTTAGCTATACAAAAGACCTAAATACAACGAAACCGAAAGCAAATCGATTTTAAAATTCATGTGACGATTTAAGTTGATCATCTCGTTCAATTGATCTGAAAAGCCTTTTTGTCATACTAATTTATTCCGATGAAATTCTATTCATCGATATTTAATCAGTTTTCATTTGCATCAGTTTATTCCATATTTATCTAGTTGTTTGATGTTTTCCGTAGTGCTTCATTCACTCTAATTTTGTGTTCGGTGATGATGAATCGGTTTGATAAATCTGTGGGATTAATAACCATTGAATACAAATTAATCCTTCTATGGTGTCTTTTAATACAGCAGCATCTATAAAAATTTGGATTTTCCACTCCATTTGGCTTGGAGGTAAAATATACTTTAACAGACGCGATGAGGCTTAAAATTATTATTAGTTTGAGAATGATTATTGATCAAACTGAAAGTCACTGAGATATTGAGACGCTTAAAAGTTATTTTCTACTAATGTCTGAATAAACAGAAACAATAACTTGTCACATAATTTTTTCCAAAAGAAGATGAATTGTCTGGCCTAATTATTTCTACAATCTTCATAAAATATTTAATCATAACAGTTATTAATTTTTGTTTCAGTTACAATAAACAACTCTATATTTAATATTTTTGTGTTACTCACAGTATTGTCTCAGATAAATGTAGTTCCAACAGTTTATCACATAAATGAGATGATAGAATCCGAGACATGTGTGTAATTTATGGTTGGGTTTTTTAACAATAACATCGTCTTTATTACTAATTTATGGAACAGTTAGGAATATGAAGTGAATGGTTATCACTGGAAATCATGTTGATTCTACCGTTGACGTTTTCCGAAATTTAGTGGCCTTGAGAAGCTTATATCGAAAAAGGTTCAATCGATGAAAACTTGATTTGAAAAGGCTGTGACACAGACCATTCAACAGAATTAAATTTTATATTCAAGGAACATATCTCTTTTGGGTACTTTTGTCAGGGATTCCTGAAATATCTCTTTGAAAAGTAGTTAGAGGCTTAGAAACTCTAGGACAAGTTTCATCATATCAGTACTGAATAGAACCTCCACGGAAACTCCTGGAAAATGCTAAATCACATTCCACAATTTTGACTGGATATTTAGCCATACCCTTATTATATTTAGCATAGTTCCCAATAATTCCAGAAGCCGAAGGTTATGAATAACTCAAAAAGTATCCTCACATACAATAAGCTTGGAGTAAAGTATTCTTCTCATACTTCCTGTCTTCTCTCTTGTGTTCAAGTTGCAATTTATATTTAATCCGTAGTTATTAGAAGCAGATTGAAAATCATATGCTTCATTCGTTTAGCAGACTTATCGGATTTCATAATGATGGATGAATTATTTCTAATCTTTTGGAATATATTTAAACTCTTTTTTCAAAGGTAATCATAATTTTATTCTCGAAAATCAAATTAATCAACATCCTTGCAATTATGAAGATAACTAATTTGATTCAGGATTGTATTCCTAATTGGTTTAAAATGTTTGATGCGTGTTAAATTATTATTCCTACAAAGTCTGAATTTCGATTGTAAAGTAATAGGCTACATCAAATAAAATATACAGTAACTATTTGTTTCTATTTAACAGCTTTGAGTAGAGCATATTCAGAAAAAATAAAAGTAGTTTTATTAGCTTATCAAATCTGTTAGATATGGGGCATTTCTACCATACATTCCCTGTAAATATATGTTTGTTCGTATTGACGACAAAGAATGAAGTATACGAACAGGCAAAAAGAAGTGACTTTAAAAGCTACATATATGTATAATACTTAAGCGTGTTTGCCTTAAAAGCGATTACTTAGAAAGTGTTTCTAACAAAAACTTGTTGATACAGTGAAATCTTTTCATTCTGAAACAACGAGGTAAACTATGTAATGACTATATACATCACACATCAACCTAGATATACACAAAAATTTTAAAGAAAATACTCATTGAAATTGTCCTCCTTTATGGACCTATTCTCAAAACATCAGAGTGATAAAGTGTTCCAAGCTGACTATGATCTCCGTGAACATTAATCGTGTGTTGGAACTAACTTTTACAACTGTCACTAAATATTTCGTAAATAGGTCAATTTTCAAGTTACACAATATACAATCGATATATTGATTAAGACAAGTCTATCAGCCAATGATAAAATTATTAAACAAATACTAGGTCATTAAAACAACCAATAACATAATGTATGTACGCATTCACAGTATGACAAGAATAAAGACCAATTGCCTGAGGATGATATAATGCATTCCATATTTTGTAAGCTTGCTTATTTCAGATGTGTTGTCTCGCACATTCCATGTAAGCAGTGAGTCTCAACTTATTTACTTTAATGATTTTATGCAAAAAAGTTTGTTTTTATTTGTATCTAAACCTAACTAGTGTTTGCAAATATTATATGCACCAATGTTAATATGTAGTTCAAACTAACGGTAAAACTGATCTGAACCCATCTATCACATTTAGTTTTTAAAAGCTGTCAAGGTTCGAGTTCAAACCTGACTGCAACCGTGTTACGCTTTTACGATTTTAATCTAATTAAGAAAATTTGTAGTTCAGATGAATGATTATGGTGGAGTTATCAGCAAATACCAATCAAGGTCGAAGTCGACAGGACAAGCTTGAAGTCATATGTGGAGAAGTTTTAATACTTCCCTTGGTGCTGATGATGTTGTTCAGAAGAACATTGAAAGCTCCGAGACTAAACCATCCATCTGTAGAATTTAAGTCGCACGTTTTGTCCTATTTGTAACTCATCAGACAGAAGCACCTCCACTTATTGACAACATCGAGGGAATCAGAATGAGACGCACATACACCAAAACAGACTGATCAACTGTAGTTCACAACATTGACACAAGGATTCAAACAACCAATGCAAACGAACTGTAGGATCTGGCTTACTTAGAAATGAATTTCTCGAATAAGTCCCTATACTGACGCATACAGATTCTTAGTAGGGCTAAAGTCGAAAATACGTACGTAGTTGCTATATCGGGAAGAAGATTAGAGAAATAGTAATTTCTAGGACTAAATTACGGGTGTTACTATGTTCGCATTAAATAATAATCAAATAACTTGATTATTACACATTTAAATTCTTGTTATAAGCTCTTGATTAACCTATTAACGAATTTTGTATGATTTACTAGTCCTAATCATTCACAGACTCCCCTATTCATAGCCGCTTTTGGCTCGCTCATATATGAATGTATTCTCTCATTCTACGTTGTGACGCAGTCTAATATGTTTGTTTATAAACTATATCTGTTTGAAATAATACAGGTTTCGTAGAATCTGGCTACGGACTGAGGTGGGGTAGAAAGAAAGGAGCTGATTATTAAACATTTAAAAGAGTCATTCAGATTGGTGTTTTGTTTTTGTCACATGGCAGTGGTTAACGATTTGAGATACAACCAATAGCCGACGATTGTAACCTGTTTCTAGTAGGTATGTAAATAATATGAGTACAAAATTGGAAAATAGGAGTCAGTTACAAAGAGAACAATAAACACACACTTAGTGAACAGTGACAAGAAGACAACAAAATGAATCAGCAAACAAGTGTCTCTCACGTTTATATAATTGATTCAATCTGATGACTAGTAATTAAATAAAAAGGTTCAGAGTAATAACCAGCCTAGGTTTAAATGAGTCCTTTTGTCAGGCCTTTAATTCAAATATTCTCGATTTACCCATTCTTATCGATTGAGATCAACATGGATTAATAGTTTGATTAGCCTTATATTTATCACGATACTTGATATATCAATCTTTGTTCTTCACTTTTATAGATTATACTAAATAATATCTGTGTTATCAAGTTTTGGACTAGATTCCTGAAGATCACTGGAACTATTCAATTATTATTGTAGATAAACATCTCATGTTTTATTATTTCGCCTATGGGAGTAATTTGTTAAAGGAACGTATACAGTTGTTGAATAAATCTGCTCAGTATGTTGGTGTGGGAGTTCTAGAAGATTACGTTCTTTCGTTTGCTGGATTTAGTAATAACTGGTTTGGAGCTACTGCAACAATTAAACCATCGCCTTCTGAATACGTCATGGGTACTGTTTGGAAAATGTGTATGAGCGATATGAAGACATTAGATCTACAAGAATCTGTTCCTGAAGTGTACCGGCCTGTCGAAATCTCAGTTAGTCTTTTTTCTGAGAAGTCTTCAATTATTAACTGTAGAAGTTATGTGTTAAATTCAGCTGACCCAGGATATCCATCTCCATATTACTTGGATATAATAGTACGTGGAGCAGTTCAGTCTCAACTTCCTCAATCGTATGTTGATCAATTAACGAAAATCAAATCTAATGGATATTTGGGGAAATGCAATTTCTACATGAAAGTTCTCGAAAATATACCAATATCTGAACGTCATATGTACCACATACCTGATCTAAAAAAAATTACAATTTGAATAAATGTTGTTCTACTATTAGAAATTGTCATTATGTTTGTCGCGGGACATCTGACTTTCAGTTTATACATATTTTACAGTTCTTTTCAGTCTTAAATGAAAGTTATCTGAGAGTAATTTCACTACTACAACACCAAAGGTTTGAATTTTTTGTTTTACGGATTGGCTGATATTGTAATCCGAACAATGAAATTTTAGTATATGACTATTAGATACAGAAGTGAGGTTTCATGGGAAGTTGTTTCAAATGTCGCAGATTCCTATTAATTAACTCAAGGATAAAACAAACAAAATGTATTTGGTCTCCTAGAAAATCATAGAGTTATACTTCTACCTTATTTAGCCAAAGGTTAATGCTATAAGTTATTAAACTGTATAGGTAAGGGGAAACATACTTACCTAGGTACTTACTTACTCACTCACTAACTTACTTACTTTCTTACTTACTTATGCACTTGCTTACTTACTTACTTACTTAATTACCTGCTTACCTACCTACTTACTGACTTATTTACCTGCTTACATGTTAATTTACTTAATAACCTACTTACTTACTTAGTTACCTACTTACTCACCTACTTACATACTTATTTCTTTACCAACTTACTTACTTACCTACATACTTACTTACTTACTTACCTACTCACTTACGTTTTTACTCAATTACTTACTTACTTAGTTACTTACCTACTTACTTACTTAACTTCTTACTTACTTACTTACTTACTTACTTACTTACTTACTTACCTACTTACTCATCTACGTACTTACTTACATATTTACCTACTTACTTACTTACTTACTTACTTACTTTCTTACTTAGTTACTTAGTTACTTACTTACTTATTTACTTACATACTTACTTACTTACTTACTTACTTCCATATTTACCTACTTACTTACTTACTAATTTACCTACCTACTTACTTAATTACCTACTTACTTACTTAAATACTTACTTACTTACTTACTTAATTACTTACTAACTTACAGCCTGTTACCCACAAATACTGCATGGACCGCCAAACAATTTACTCCAACATACTCTGTCCTGGGCTTCCCCTCCATGTTCCGTCCAATTTTTCTTCATTCTTCTCATATCTTTCTCTATTTCTCGGCGTAATGTGTTCCTTGGTCTTCCACTTTTCCTTTAACCGTGAGGGTTCCAAGTGAAGGCTTGTCTCCTGACGCAGTTAAGTGCTTTCCTCAATGAGTGTCCTATACACTTCCAGAGCTTCTTCCTGATTTCCTACTCCTCTGGAATCTGGTCTGTTGTTTCACACAGTAGGCTGTTGCTGATGGTGTCTGGTCAACGAATCCGAAGTATTTTGCGTAGACGACTATTAAGGAATACTTGTATCTTCTGGATGATGGCTTTCGTAGTTCTCCAAGTTTCTGCTCCATACAATAGAACTGTCTTGACATTTGTATTGAAAATTCTGATTTTGGTGTTGGTTGACAGTTGTTTTGAGTTCCAGATGTTGTTCAGTTGTAGAAATGTAGCCCTTGCTTTGCCGATCCGCGCCTTCATTTTGTTTAACAATACCCTGTTAAAGACTTTGCTTGGTATTGAGAGAAGAGTGATGCCCCTGTAGTTCTCACACTTGCTGAGATCGCCTTTCTTTGGTATTCTGATCAGGTATCCTTCTCTCCAGTCTATTGGTATTTGTTCTTCGTCATCCCAAATCTTGTTGAAGAGAATGTGGAGTATCTGTGCAGGTGCAGACACGTCCGCTTTCATTGCCTCTTCTGGAATGTTGTCTGGTCCCCCTGCTTTGCCGCTACTTATTTCTCTGATGGCCATGCTGATCTCTTCAATTGTTGGTGGGTCGACATTGATTATGAGGTCCGTGGATGCTGCTTCGATGTTGGGTGTGTTCAATGGGGCTGGTCTATTCAAGAGTTCTTCAAGATGCTCTACCCACCCATTTCGCCGTTCTTCAATGTTGCTGGTTATTTTGCTTTCTTTGTTTTCACTGGTCGTTCTGGTTTACGATAGTTTCCGGCGAGCTTCTTTCTTGTATCGTATAATTGTCTCAAGTTTCCTTCTCTTGCAGCCTTTTCCACTGTCATAGCTAGATCTTCCACATATTTGCGTTTGTCGGCTCCGATGCTCCTCTTCACTGTCCTCTTTGCTTCTGTGTATTCATCTTGTGCCATGGCTTTCTCTTCTCTTGCTCGGCTGACGTTGATTGCTGTCTTCTTGTTCCTCCTTTCTTTAATTTTTTCAAGAGTACCAACCGAGATCCACTACTTGTGGTGATACTTTTTGTGGCCCAGAACCTCCTGACATGTTGAAGTGATTGCCTCCTTGATCCCTTTCCAATTGTTCTCCAAGGTAGTTTCCTCTCCATTGAGTATATCGTGCAAGGCCTAGAACCCATTTCTGAGGGCTGTCTCCAATTCGTTTAGTTTTACGGTATCCTGAAGAAAGGCCGTATTAAGCTTTTGTGATGTTGTCCACCCAGTGTCCAGTGCTTCTTGAGTTTCAGTTTCATTGTGGCCACCAGCAAGTGATGATCTGAGACTATATCAGCGTCTCTCTTGGTTCTCACGTCCTCCATGGTCCTTCTGAGCTTTTGATTGATTCAGATCTGACGGATTTTGTTCTGTGTAGTGTGATCCGGTGAAATCCATGTAGCTTTGTTTAAGCGTTTTTGCGGTGATATGTAATGAATTATATGAAAACATGGGGATTTTGCTGATTTTAGTTGTCTATAATTTTGCATAGAAGTCAAGTCATATCGAGGGTACAATACAGAGCTACATTACTACACACATTTAACAGTCAAAGTTTTTTAGCACTTAATATATTACTATGAACAAGAGATGGTTTATGGCTACGCGTTTTGTGGCCGAGAATCGAAAATTGTATTCTCTACAAAATAGGATCAATTATCTCTCTCTAACACCTTGAACAACTATTCACTGAAAGCGGTCAGAGAAAATCAATGATCAGGTGTCCCACACCTTAACTTCGAGTTATGTCAGCCTTATCAACCTTATCGTCGACGGACAGTCAGCAAGCAACAATATAACCAAATAACAAAGGTAAATCTTAACAGAAGTCATATCATGAGGGCCTGATAAAAAAGATTGAGGAAAATGAAACCCATGATTAAGTGAATCCTGGATAAAAGTAAAAAATAGAAGACAAGGTAAAAATACAAAGAAATAACAATATTCACGAAAGTAACCCATGGTGTTACTGAAGAAAAGATAAAGACAATTCACACAATCGATTTCACCTTATCTCTTTTCTTCCCACGATTATTAAGCAATTTTTCTAATGCATGATATGATATAATCTTCCCCCTATTTTGCAATAGACTACTTTATTTTAAAAATTAACGGCAAAATGACTATACAGCTTATGAAAATGATGTCGTCGGAAACGAGATTTTCTTTACTGAGTTGTCTTTAGTTCTTTTTAAATAACACTATTGTCCAGTAAGATGATTTTAGGAGATTTTCAGAGTATTCCCTCTGTTACATTATTTTTATATGATCGTCATATAATTATGGAGATCAATTTCCCGATCTACGGTGATATTCTTCCTTCGTCTATATTTCTGTGTAACTATGTCAGTAAAGCTGACTAAATTGTATTCGGAAAATTAAAGTTTATCAATGATATTATTCCTGCATTCTTCGCTTGTAGAAAATCGTAAACATGGTCGTTACTCTTATTCAATGAATTACGTGTGCATCGGATATGACTTAAATTCAAGATTCTTTTGTTAGCTATACAAAAGACCTAAATACAACGAAACCGAAAGCAAATCGATTTTAAAATTCATGTGACGATTTAAGTTGATCATCTCGTTCAATTGATCTGAAAAGCCTTTTTGTCATACTAATTTATTCCGATGAAATTCTATTCATCGATATTTAATCAGTTTTCATTTGCATCAGTTTATTCCATATTTATCTAGTTGTTTGATGTTTTCCGTAGTGCTTCATTCACTCTAATTTTGTGTTCGGTGATGATGAATCGGTTTGATAAATCTGTGGGATTAATAACCATTGAATACAAATTAATCCTTCTATGGTGTCTTTTAATACAGCAGCATCTATAAAAATTTGGATTTTCCACTCCATTTGGCTTGGAGGTAAAATATACTTTAACAGACGCGATGAGGCTTAAAATTATTATTAGTTTGAGAATGATTATTGATCAAACTGAAAGTCACTGAGATATTGAGACGCTTAAAAGTTATTTTCTACTAATGTCTGAATAAACAGAAACAATAACTTGTCACATAATTTTTTCCAAAAGAAGATGAATTGTCTGGCCTAATTATTTCTACAATCTTCATAAAATATTTAATCATAACAGTTATTAATTTTTGTTTCAGTTACAATAAACAACTCTATATTTAATATTTTTGTGTTACTCACAGTATTGTATTCTTATTACTTTCATTTTCAAATTAGCTCAATGTACGTTTCTTTGGATTTTTATATTCTTTGTCTTTCTTTCTCACTTCACACGTAAATAAAATTGATGAACACTTTTAAAACGGTTGAAAGACATTGACGCGAACAGATATATAACAAATTCACTGTCAAGATAAATTATTTGACTGCGTGAATAATACTAATTTTGTAATTTTTGTTATATCTTTCCATTCCAGAATTTCTATTTGGAAATAACGATCAAATGAAAAATTCAAAATAAAACTGTCTCTCATTTGCTTAATTTTTATTACCTACTTCTACTCCGAATTAAAATTTTGATCGAACACATTCCTGAGATGTCACCAGTATTGATGTTTTTTAATAAAAT